ATTTTTATTGTCTCAGTGGCCCCTTCTGAAAACCCAATCCATGTCTATTTATTCCTTGGTCTATTTGAATTGGTGCTGCTATACATTGTTCTTGTTTTCCTAATCTTTTTTCTTTCCTAAAACCTTGTCTAGCCCTAGTAGTGGGCGCATTAGGATTGATGTTATTTGTTAATGTCAAACTTAATTGATCTAGGACATCTCATCCCCATAAATTTATAGGAAGATGATCCAATACATATGGCTGTATATTTCCTTCACATCCTTCAGGATCCTTCCAATCTAATACCATTGCACTTCAATGGGGATTAGTCGCCACTCCTAGGCCTCGAAGCATTTCAGTGGCTTGTTATAATGGCCAATGTTTTGGCCATTCTTGACGAGATATGATGCTAAGGTCAGCACCTGTGTCCAGAAGTCCATTAAATTCATGTCCTTGAATATTTAGTTTTAGCATTGGGCGAGAATCTAGATTTAAAGACAGCATAGCCCAATCTACACCTGTGGAGCCTAATTCCCTGGAACCTCTTTCTATAGTACGACTGGAAATTTTATCATGCAGGCTGGGTATTATTAATAACTGTGCTATTCTATCTCCTGGTGAAATTACTGATATACCTCTTGGAGAACTTGCTATAATTTTTATTTCACCTACATAATCAGGATCAATTACCCCAGAACTTATCATAAGTCCTTTTAGTGTATAAGAACTGTGTCCCAATAATAAGCCTACTGTTCCTTGGGGAAGAGGTCCTTTTACTCCTGTGGGAATGATTTGAACCCCCATCTCTGGAGTTAGTGCTGCTCTGGCGGAGGCGCAGATGTCCAACCCTTCACTCCCTCTGGTTTATCTGATGAGGGATTTTATGTATAATGTGTCCTGGGCACTACCCTGATGGTGTTGCTGGGTTCCTCTATTGCCCCGTCTATTTGTGGTTGTGGGCCCCGGGGCATTGGGCCCCCCAGTCCGTTTTTTGGCAATGGAGCCTGATGCCTTTCTCCACGATATCATGGGTAAACACCTGATTCTTGTCTGTGTTTTGATAACAGAGTACTCTCTATGGTGGTTTGAGAATGGCATTCATTAGCCCAATGTCTCCCTCTATGGCATTGTGGGCAAATACCTGGTATTCTATTCCTTTGATACCTAGTTTTGTTAAACCCTTTTCATATGGCGCAATTCCTTTTAAAATGTCCTGTTTGTTCACAATTGTAGCATGTTTTTGGTCTGGCATCTAAAGCCTGTTGTACTGCAGCTACCAAGACTTGCCCTTGTTCATTAATGTCTCTACATAATTCAATATATGTGTTTAAATCTTCATGTTTCCATGGTCTAATAACCTCTCTACAGCAACGATTTGCGTGGTCATAAGCCAGTTGTTTTATTAATGGCATTGCTTGTTCTGTATCCCCAAAAACTCTGGCATCTTTTTGAATAAGCCTATCTACAAATTCAGTGTAAGTTTCATTAGCTCTCTGTATTACCTTAGATAATTGACCTTGTAAATCTCCATGTCCTTGTAAAGTCTTCCATGCTCTAACTGCATCTGCAGCAATTTGTGCATATATAGCAGGATCATATTCAATTTGTTGCCGTTGACCCTCATAAGGTCCTTTTCCTAACAACATATCTAGATTTCTTTGAGGGTAACCGGCTTCTGCATTTTGCCTAGCTGTGTTCGTGCAAAATTCCTCATTGGCAACCTTCCATAACAAATATTGTCCTCCATTTAGCACAGATTTACACATGCTATCCCAATCTGCTAGCGTCATGTCCAAGCTGGTAATGGATTCGACCATGCTTACGGTGAAGGGTGCTTAGGGACCATAGGTTGTTACAGCCTCCTTTAACTGCTTCACTGTTTTGAATTCTAAAGCATGGTGAATTCACTACCCTCCTGCCTGCTCAAGTTCAGGGCATGCTAATCTTTGAGGTCCTGTCTCAGGATCCCATCTATCAACTACAGGGGTTGAGGGCCACTCAGCTGTCTCCACAGGTGGACCTCTTGGTTGAATTACACCCTCTGGTAATAGAACAGAGTTAGTCACAGCCTCCTGTTGTAGCTTCCCCCCAATAGCTGTTTCTCCTCTAAGCTTTTTTCCTTTAAATTTTCTTCCTCTATCTGACTATCAGGAGAGACTTTCTCTTTTGCTTGATCTAACATGTTTTCTACCATAGTCTGGACCTCTAACAATTTACTTAACACTCATTCAGTTTGTTTTTTACTAATTTCTAATCTACTATAAAGATAACACAATCCAACAAGATAACACAAAACAAAACCGAAACAGAATGAAACAAAAACGGAATAAAAAAATCATTGTATCAATTTTCTCTTCCTCAGGGCCGAAAAACTTCTAACCTTGAGCCAACCATTTTATCCAGTTTGCCTGAGAAAGTTTTAGGGTTAGGCAGCTTGAAACAAAAACAAAATAAATCAAAACAAGAACACATTGTTTTTTGAAATGGTCACCAATTCTCTCGCCTTCCCTCAGGGACGAGCAATTTCACTTACCTCCTAGCTTCAGGCGTTCCCCGTACAGGCAACCAAATGCCGCAGTCTGGCTGGGCACAAAATCACGAGCCACTCAAGCAGGAACAAACTTTATTTCCAAAACTCCCGTGAAATTCCACGCATGTGGCCTTCTTCAGGGACATGCTCCACCAACAGGAAATCCCTCCTCCAGAATTCCCTCCTACCACACTTCCCCAACCAATGGGAACTCTCCTGGAGTCCTGCAAGAGCTCCAAAGTAGCAGGCCTAGGCAGACAGCAGAGGTCTAACCTCCAATTGAGTGTGCATCTTAACATAATCATTGTCATCTCAATGACTTGCTGGGGTCAACTTTCAACCAAAAATGCCATGCATCATTCCTACGTGGCTATGGCTCTCAGCACCAGAGGACATAGGACTAATGGCAGTGTGTATGTGTGTGTGTGTGTGTGTGTGTGTGTGTGAGAGAGAGAGAGAGAGAGAGAGAGAGAGAGAGAGAGAGAGAGAGAGAGAGAGACAGAGAGAGAGAACAGATCACAGAAGTGCAGTCTATACACACCTATATCTTACCCTAAGTTACAGAATAATGATTCTAATACATGTGCAGTCACCATAAGCTCATGTTCAGCTTCGGAGTTACAGAGTTTGATGGAACATATGAATGTTGCAAACTATGTCATTCAGAGCAGATTCCCTTAGACCCAAAGCTCTTCAGGTGCTGGAAGACTTTGGGTGACACATGACTGAGATTCACATTTCTCCATGGACCCTGATTTGGACTGTGTAGTGACCAGGATGTCCCTGGGAGGGTTGGGGCTCAACAAGCTGCACACACTGTGATTCAGTGGGGTGTAGACCCTGCTCACCTGGGTTCACTCCTAGCACTGTTGGCAGAGCCCTCAGGCCTGGTTCTTGCCTTTTCCTGTGGACAGACGAGGTCCTGCAGGAGCAGCTGGTCCTGTGGATTCTGCCCTTGGTGGAGAGCAGTGAGGAGCCAGGGCCTTCTCCAGAGGGAAGCAGAGGCCTCTGGTGAGAGACCCTCAGCTCAGGGATGTGGGCTCAGTGTCCTGCAGGAGCCTTCCCAGCTCCTCAGGAGGGGCAGACCTTGTTCTCTGTCTCTGTCTTTCTCCTTCACTGCAGTGTCCCCACCATGTTGGAGAGAGGACCTTCCTGGTGGCTCAGTCCATCTGCACAGCCAAAGCTTCTCAGAAGGAACAAGCTCACCTGGACCCAGTAGGCTACTGGTGTCATGGCAGGTCTCTCTGTAAATGGTCCCATCAAGTTCATGTGGCCGAGGGGCTACCTGTGCCCAGACTCAGGTCTCTGTAAACAATACCCTGTGAATTGCCCTCCATGGCCATGAGTAACTGAGTTCTGGTCTGTGGTGAGATATCCTGAGAGTGGTGTGGCACGCAGAGCCCAGCCCAGCCCTTCTCACCATGAGACCCTGAGGATATGGACTGCACATGTGACCTCCAGTCTGGAAAGGCACACATTGGGGATTGTAGCAGGAACTGTATGTGTGATCTCTATAGCAGGGACCTTAGGAAAACAATATTGTCATCTACTTTTAGTGCCATGATTCTCTTTTGGACATTTAAATTTCCTCTTTGACCTTCATCATGGAGCCCACAATGTCACTTGCTATGCTGTTGCCCTGACATGCCACAGCTGTCATTTGGGAAGGTCACAGAACCCCAGCCCTGTCCCCTCTCACATGCACCTACTGATATAGGTCCAGGACTCTCTGAAGATCCCCTTCCTATCACTTCTTTCAAAGAGCCATGTTGGAAAAAGCTGAGTATCAGCTTTAGTTTAAATCCGAGGTGCTCCAAACCCTCTTGTGTGAGACATTGGAAGAATTTGCAGAGGTGACAGTGTCAGACTCTGAAGGTTGGGACAAAAATCAGCGGACAAGAAAGAGGTCACTAATAGTGAGGGAGGAGGGACAGGAAAAGGGAGAATCCAGGAGCGAACTGAGCAGATGTGAATGGCCACTTCTGCACATGTGTGAGTCCTGCACATGTAGCTTGTTCCATGGTGAGTTTCTCATGTAGATATGCATACACATAGTATTAATTTAATTAAAACAGTATAAAAACATGGAATAAAACTCAGTGAGGTAAAGTAACTGAGGAGTAAGAGAAGAAGGACAGAGATGGTACTGGGACAGACCAAGAGCTTTTATATTCAACTAATGAATGTAATAATGTCAAAATGTATCGCAATCAATATATGTAAGATACACTATTTTAAAAGAAAAACTACATCACAAAAACAAAATAATGATCTTCAAACAAATCAAAAATAAGCCTAGAGCACAAGGCCACAGAGCTCCCCTGGAAAGCAGGCACAGGGAGAGGCTCTCAGATTCAGGAAATCAGCCCTCAAACCCATTCTGCACCTGCTCCTGGATGACCCTGAGCTCCCTGTGTGCTGAGCACCCCCTGCAGGCCCTGGGCACGCTGCAGGAGGTTTGTGTCTGGGCTCAGACTGAGGTTCCCTCACTGTGTCTCTAGCACAATAATAGGTGGCTGTGTCCTCGACTCTCAGACTGCTCATTTGCAGGTACAGCGTGTTCTTGGAGTTGTCTCTGGAGATGGTCAATTGGCCCTTCAATGAGTCAGCATACAAAGTATTACTTCCACTAGTACTAATGGGTGAGATCCACTCCAGCCCCTTCCCTGGAGCCTGGTGGACCCAATGCATGTAGTAGTCACTGAAGGTGAATCCAGAGGCTGCACAGGAGAGTCGCAGGGAACCCCCAAGCTGCACCAGGCCTCCCCCAGACTCCACCAGCTGCACCTCACACTGGACACCTGCAAACACAGAGGCAGCCTGGTCAGGACACTGGCACTCATCCACTCTTCCTCTGACTCCTGTCCACTCACACACTCAGGATCTCTGGTTCTCCATTCATTACCTTTGAAAACAGCCACCAGGAAAACACAGCTGAGCACACTCTCCATGGTGAGTAGCTGTGTTCAGTCTTGATCACTGAGTGGGCTGAGCTGGGAGTCCAGGGATGGGCTCCTGTGCAGAGCTGCAGGGTCAGATGGGCTGGTTTTCATGAGCAGAGGGAGGCCCTATTTGCATGTCCTCCTGCTATATATCAGCCCTGGGTGGAGGCCCAGGTAGAGCAGCTCTGAGAGCAGATGGGAGGGTCGTCATGAGCAGCATAGTGGACAGAGGAGCATTCAGGAAGGGAGAATTTCTTCTAATTTTATTTTACAGCCCACTATCTTAGTTTATTTAATATAAACACATAGTCATATGATGGAAGTGTCTGTTCTAAGCTAACTCACTGCTGCAGATGTAAAATCACACACAGAAGCATGAGTACTGGTTCACTGTGTCCAACAGCTCTTGTGTGGCAAGAGTGATTGGTTATCTGATCTTTTGCTCTCACCCTGGTTATGACTGCTGCCCTGACCCTCTTCTAGCTCCCAGGTGCACACACTCTCGAGGCCCTCAGAACCATCCTGCATTGGAAATGTGCTGTGTGTCTTCTCCCCTCTGCTGCCACTTGCTCTCCAGGGAGGCATCCAGCTGAGGGCCTCAGAGGCTCCCTGCAGGGGGAAGTCTGTGCCTCCCTGTGAGGGCCTCCTTCAGCTCAGGAGCAACCAGTTGGCACAGAGCCCTCAGGACCACATGCTGCTACCATCTGTGGTGGGAACAAGGCACAAGTGTGGGTAGGGAGAAACCCAGGCTGTGTCCTCTCTTTCAGTTATCATGGGCTGAGTCCACAGGGGGCCACATGTATCTACTTCCTGTGAGGGGCCTGGGAGAAGAACACACCAGTGTCCCCATGGGCTTGGTCTACTTAATCTGTCATCTGTGATCCAGGCCTCCTGTCCTCCTCTTGTGCACAAAGATGTGGGGGAAGCAGGGATTCTCTGTGTGAATCAAGTGCCTTGGAATCCTCCTGGAGGCACAGCCACATGCCCTCAGTACTGCTGCCCTATCACTCTTCACATGTCCACATGGTCCCAGAATGGGGAGGACAACTGACACCCTGGTCCTGGTCACCTGCATTTTCCCAGGGCTGATAGAGCCTTCCTGTCACCCTGAGCCCCAGTGGGACCCCAGCACCACTGAGGGGTCCAGCCCTATCTGCCTCTCTTTGCCTCCTGCCTCCTGCCATGTGGTGCTGCAGCCTCATGGCCCTGGTCAGGAGCAGTACCTGGGTGTTTGCACCCTGATCTCTAGAACCTGCTGCAGCACAGCTCTATCCTTGTGAAGTGTCAGCCTCAGGAGCTGCTCAGAGCAGCACAGACTGCATTCAGCCACCCTGGTGCTGGGGCCTGAGGTGGTCATAGTGAGCATCTAAAGAGGTGGACACAGCTCTGGGACTGGGTAAAGCTTTGGTCTGTGTTAACTCTGATCTGGGAGCTGGAGTAGGCACCAAGGACTCAACCTGGAAGCACTCATGATGCTCACTCTGCAGGCACACAGGGTGCCAGAGTGTGGAGGTGGGTCATCTCCACTTGCATTCCAGGGGATGTACTGGGTAGGCCTTACCTCAGGCAGAGCTTTATAGGTGTGGCCCCTGCAGTCCCCATACACCATGCTAGTGGAGCCTGGGAGCATGACCATTAAGGCCCAACAGTGTTGGTCTGCCAGCTGCAGGGCCAGTGTGGAGAGCAGCAGTCAGGAAGCCCACCCTGTGCAGTGTGGCCTGAGGCCAGCAGAGACATGGTGTGGGACAGCCTGAGGCTTGAGGACAGAACCTCTGCCAGTGTGCACATCAAGTGGGAAGTAGAGTTCATGAGGCCTGCCCTTAACTAAAGTTCCATGAGTGTTGAGGACCTTTTCATGATCACCATATTTCCTTTAAAGGAGATGTGGAAAATCTGCTGTCCACAGGGGAAAAATAAAGATAGTCAACAAGAATGGCATCCTGTCCCTGCTGGCCCTGGGCATGGCCCTGGAGCACATGGACCTAGCTGAAATGGGTCAAGCAGAGAGAGACCATCAGCACATCATCACTCATGTGGGGAAGCTACTGCATCAGATCCTGGAAAGAGAGAGGGCAGTGGCCCCTGGAGATGGGAAGGTGCAGGGAGGGCAAGGGTGAGGGTGGTGGTGAGGGCCATGTGCAGAGAGGGCCTTGTCCTGGGGCTCTGCAGCTCACAGGGCACCTGTGGCCCACATCCAGCCTGTGCTTCACAGTGACTGGGGCAGAGCAGCTGGTGGGCTCCCCACACCCAAGAGGGATAGGTGGTGGACAGCTGGGTGTGTACAGCCTGGCACCCATCATGGTGCCTGGCACCCCTGTGTCAGTGTGCTGTCCTCTGCCTCACTGGGGCTTGTTTTCAGTGTAAGTATGAAAATACAGTTTGAATGGCCAGCTGTTGTCTGATGAAGAGAGATGCTGACACTCTTAGTTGATCATCACATATCATCAGGTGTGAAAGAGAACACACAACACATCGTTGTGTATTCATGTCCTTCAAAATATATTCATAGGTCAATCCCCCAAATCTAGTTTACATAACTAAGTGTAAATGTAATAACCAGAAAGCATGCTTAAGCAGTCACGTACAGAGTCTGTGCAAATGGCAGGTGTCCTGTTTATGGAAAGTGATACCAGCATCCACCAAAACAGAGGCAGGAGCTGAGCAAGGCCCTCAGTGCAAGTACCGAGGTTTCAATGAGGCAAAGGAGCCAAGAGTTAAAGCACTGGGTGAAATCCTCAGTTTTTTGATGGGATATCATTTTGTTGATTATAGGTTAAAAACCTTGTAGTGACCAGAGAAGGACGCCCGGCACCCAGCCAGAGCACAAGAGGAAGCTCGACCCTGCTAGTCCAGAGGAAGCCCATCAACACTTAAATCCAATCAAAGAGGGCGTGGCTACCAGCATGGTTCTGTGGCTGATCCAGGTACCCGGTTTCCAACTTCCCCACCCTGAGCTGCGATTTCTCAAAATATTTCCCACAAGATTTGGGGGGATGTAGCTATCAAAGCAAAACAACAACTCTACAGGCACCTTGTTTCCACCTCAGAGACTAGAGTAGGGAGGATACTGGTGGAAGCATATGTCCATTCACACTGGCTACATCCACCACCCTGAACACAGAGGCTCAAGCTAGGAAAAGACAATGCCTCCTACTGGAAGAAAGGAAAACAGAGTTCTGAGAGACTTTTGTTTTCTCTTTTTTTTTCTTCTCTCTCTTTCACAACCTCAACATATGTGAAACCAAGAACTGTGCATGAACAACCAAATCACCAAAATAATATAATATAGAGGAATTACGTATACCCCACCTTTCCCCCATTTTTTTCTTATTTCTTTATTACTTTCTTTTTCCTTCTCTCTTTTTTCTCTTTTCTTCCTTGTTATCTTTTTTTTATTTTCTTCATTCTTATTCCCTCTATCCCGCTTTCAACCCCATAACTTTTACTATCTATACAAAGGGTAACTATCTAAATACAGATAGGAGGTTGAATCTATACATTCTTCCATAAATTACCAGTCTATTGGTTAGAGTTCTCCAAAGTTGCTAAGTTAGTTTAATCTCATACCTCACTCCTTTCCCTCTAAGTATTACATCCTTCATCTGAAATTCAGCTTTCTATATGCCACCAGATATGCTATGCCTTTTATGAAACTAATGACTATATCTTTAAATAATAATTGAAACCAATGTCTGTAGACTTAGATTTTAACTATAAATGTATTAATAATGAAAACTTGTGCTTAGATGATGTACTGATGATATTGGGAACTGTTAACATTGTCTTTCTCTGCAAAAGAGGGATTTTGGAGCTATACAAGAACAATATAAATATATAAGGAGAAAATCACTAACACAACAGTTTCACAAAGCTAGAAAGAAACATGAGCAGTATGAAAAGACAAGGAAAGAAAGGACCACAAACAATGCAGTTCAATTCAACATTAGAAGAGGTAATATCTGCAGCTGATTGAATGTCAGATAAAGAGTTCAGGATATACATGCTTCAGATGATCTGGAGTCTCAAGGAAGACATTATACAGCAAATCCAGACAATGAAAGATCACTTTGACAATGAATTACATAAACAAATACAAGAAGCAAAAGATCAACTCTACAGGGAGATAGAGGATATATATATATATATATATATATATATATATATATATATATATATATATATATATATAAGAAATCTTCAAAATGCAGGAAACAATAAACCAAATTAAAAACTCAAATGAGAGTATTACCAGCAGAGTAGAACACTTAGAAGATAGAACATCAAACAACGAAGACAAAGTTTTTCAACTTGAAAAGAACATACACAGCTCAGCGAGAATGTTAAGAAATCATGAGCAGAACTTCCAAGAATTATGGGATAACATAAAGAAACCAAACTTAAGAGTTATTGGGATACAAGAGGGTATAGAGGTCCAAATCAAAGGAATGAGCAATCTATTCAATGAAATAATACTAGAAAAGTTCCCAGACTTAAAGAATGAAAAAGAAATGCAAATACTAGAAGCCTACAGGATCCCAAACGTACAAAATCATAAGAGATCCACAACAAGACACATACAAATGAAGACGTCCAACATACAGAATAAGGAGAGAATCTTAAAAGCCACAAGAGAGAGGAAGCAGATTACATTTAAGGGTAAACCAATCAGGATAACAGCTGATCTTTCAACACAGACTCTGAAAGCTAGAAGATCCTGGAACAACATATTTCAAACACTGAAAGAAAAGGGTTCCAACCAAGAATCATGTATCTAGTGAAATTAAGCTTCAGGATTGAAGATGAAATAAAAATCTTCCACGATAAACAAAAGTTAAAAGAATTTGTAGCTAGAAAACCTGCTCTTCAAAACATCCTTGGCAAAACATTGCAGGAAGAGGAAATGAAAAATAACAATGAAAACCAACAGTGAGAGGGAGTACAGTAAAGGAAAAATTAATCAAAGAGGAAAAACAAATCATGTTAAGTAACATAAATAACCAAATATGGCTGGAAGTACAAACCATATCTCAATAGTAACCCTAAATGTTAATGGCTTAAATGCACCAAT